CTGGCATTGCCTTTGGACGAGCTAAATCGCCACTTATCGGATAATCGAACAAAACCTGGTGAGTTCGTTGCCAGATTCGTAAAACTTCACATTTTTGATATCGCATTCTGCAGCGCATTACTCATCTTGAAAGATTTGGCTCTTTTTGCTGCCCTTTTCTGTGATTGCACCCTCTCGTTCGCGTATCCTACGCTATGGTTATAGCCTCTTCGCACTAATAAAATCATGCCTGTACAAGATAGCGCGAAACAATATGTGTTAATCCAAGCACGGCTAGCCATAGCAGCGTTATAAGGGCATTTTTCGGAAAGTTGCAAAAACGAAGAAACTAGAGATGTATGGCTTCCAATTCTTGTAAACGAATTTGTTTGAGACGTTTAATTCAGATTGCTTATTGTGCAGAAGTCTACCCCGTTTTTTAGTTAAATATAAAAGTAGAGGTACAAAAAAGCCTGGTACTAAATGCCAAAAGTTTTTTCGCTCCTCCGGGTGCTGAATTGCCGTATTTTTTTTTGGGGAGGAAGGGGGTGCGGAGGGGGAAGAGGAGGAGGAAGGACGAAGGGCGCACTGCTGCCAATCCCGTGTTCGTTGAAAATCTTCGAATGTTGAAGTAGTGGAATCTGCAGCAGTGCAGGGACTTTAAAACACACATTTGCGGGAAATTTGATAGCGAATTGGTAAGGCGCCGCATAATTCTGAAAGAACATTTGGAATTCAGGCAGCAGCACGTAACAGCTTGCATCATTTAAAAGCTCCCCACAAACGTAACAGGAGAACTGTGAGAAAAAACAAAGGAACCAATAAAAGCAGCAACTGAGCATGATTATGGATAAAGTAAACGAGAAAAGAGTAGTTTTGAAGGCAGTGAGAGAGGGCGGGGTGAGGCAAATTTTTTTTAAATTTTTGCCAACTGACGGGCACTGAATTGCAGCAGATAATCCTGAAGGAGAGCAGTTGAAGAAGATGCTCAATAAAGTGAATGAAATGAGTGAGCAACGACGAAACTTGCTGCAGAAACTGAGTGATGAGCTGCGAGACGATGATATCACGGCGAAATGCCTTGCCGAAAAAAATGAGGATAATCAGGTTGCATTAGTTTTTTTTTTTTTGCTGAATAATTCTGGTATTTTTGAAGATTGCTGGATTACCACATAATCTTGGGAATTGTTCAAAGCAGTTTTGAGATCAAAATTTGGAAATCTGAATGTCCCAATTAGTGTCGCATTCCTGTTTTGCGCAAAGTAATTTTTCCTGTTTTGTTTTGGATGACGGTCGACCTAATTCTGATGGATGCTAATCCGCAAACTGATATATTACTAGTTGCTGAAGTTAGCATTTTCTTTGTTTTTTTTCTTGTTGAACCAGGGGTTTTCTTTGCCTGCTTGTTTGCTCCATGATTTAACATCTTACGCGTAAATTTTGAATGCATAGTTTTAAAAAAAAGCCAGCTTGCGACAATCTGGGGTTGGAATCTTCCAAATTTGCGCCAAGCTAAGAACACTGAATATGTGTGCGCACCATCGGACAAGCCTATAAAATATCGTTTGAGAAATCGCAGAAAATTGATTAAAGGAATTTTGGAAATCGCAAAAATTTGATTAAAGGAATTTTATGTAACTAAATTGGCAAGGCGGGGGAGGAATTAGTGAAGACATAAGACAAAAATTTAGAACAAAGTCTGCCTTCCACCTGCCGTATTTTCGAAGGAGCTATACATTTTACAATTTGAGAACGAATAGGATAAGCTGTTTGGGCCAAGAAGAGTGTAATAAGTCCGTATATTGTCATAATTATCATTTTGGATTTGTTACCCAATATGTTGTTTTTTTTAATCCTCCAATACTGCGCGTTTCTGCTGGAATCACTTTGCAGTAAGTAAGAATTTGAATTTTTCATTAACTGAGTTATAGAAATATTAACCTTGCCGTTCGTTCTAGGAACTCTATGAAAAGGAGCTAAAAAAACACGAGGCGACGACCACTTTAATTGACCTGAATTTGGACGCACAGGAGGCGATTCTGAATGCCCTAACCGAT